TGCCCAGCTTCATTACCTTGTAATTGCAACATCAGTATATGTTATATCCTGTTTGTGTCATTTTGTTAGGTTGTGTTTTATAATACTATTTTGTTTTCCAAAGTCTGCCAATTTCCATCACATAAATTGGACACAACTGTATCTTCTGCTAAAACTGGAGGAGGTTTTGTTTCTTAAAAAAAAAAAAGTAGTTTTGCAATTAAGTCTAACCACATGTTTGGATAAAAATTAATAAATGAATGAAGAAAGAGAACGTTTATTTTTAAAGGATAGAAAGACCCTTTATTTGGACAACTAAAAATCGAAAAATGAAATAAAAGAAACATTTTTTAATACTTCACTTGATTTACATGCGTAAAAGGAAGATAATGATTATTTATAAAAATACTATCAATTATACACCCTATATTAATAGAAATTGTAAACCCATACAATTTCCTTTTTCTATAATTTATTACCCAAATAAGCAAAAAAAATAATGAACATTCCATGCTTTCCTTCCTTTTCCACTACATTCTCTCAATCCAAACATAATCTAAGGCTAATGATTCATAATGTTGTGGCAATTAAAGATCTATATGTAAACAGCACAAGAAATACCTGTTTACTGCTGCGCTCTGCAGTTGCAATATTTCCTCTTTCAAAAGAGACAATGTCATGTTTGTGTTGATCACTATTCTCACCTTTGCAACACCATGCAAGTTTAAATGATGCCTGTCTCAGCAAAAGCAGCCTCATTATGGTTCAATTCGAGCATTAACAGCACTAAAATAAAATGGCAACAAGAATTTGCTTTTTTCCCATTTAACAGCTTTTGCCAAATATATTGCATTACAGTGATCGTGTATTTCAGCAGCTAATTATATCCTTCCAACCATCTTTTAAAGACATGACAATTAACTAAACCCACTGAGGGAAAAAAAAATACCTTCCGTATCATCTTATTATGAGCTGCTTTAGAACCAAGACAGGATTCCCCATCATCAAGAACCTCATGGGAGCAAATCCCGTTCTCTGTACAACCTCCTTCAGAATTTTCATTTGCTTCATTACAGTTTGGCTGTTTGGCTAAGTTCTCAGTCCAGCCATTGGAATCAGCACAACGTGCTCCAGGTGACTGTTCTGTGATGATACCCGACGAAGTTTTAATTAAGCAACCACATGGAAGAACATATAACCAAAGAGAAGAGCATTTAAGAAGAAATGAAACTGAAAAAGCTACCACAAACAGACATCTTAACGTTCAAATCTTAAAAACTAGGAATTTTTAGATTCGAGTTTTGGTTTCAAAGCCACATTATTGAGAATACACGACAACCTGTGTCATTATAGGCTACAGCAAGCAGTAAAACCAGGCTCAACAGCTCGCACCTAGCTGTCCCTAGAAACTTAGAATTGAAGAGGAAGTTAAGAACACCAGTAGCAACTGAAATAGCCCAATCACTTTCATTTCTCCTTGACCACAAACAAGAACTTAGAGCCTCATAATTCCTTTTAAAAGAAATTTTAGCCTTTGGCAAATCCACTTTCAAACCAATAAATCCAGAAGCCTTTGACACTTGGTTGTATTATTTGTCCGGCTATCTGATTTGCATATTCTGACTCAAAAGAAATTCGTTAAGAACAGTTAAGGTCATCATATCCTACCTTACCCAATAAAGGCCATAATCAATTTTGATTCTAACAGATTGCTTATGAACAGCCACCCAGTTTACCATGATTTGAAATGTCTTTATACTAAATGAAAACAATTGAGCAAATCTTCAACATTCAATGAACATTTCATCTTCAATATCCAATGAACTTTTCTTATAGAAAGAGGAGATATTTTTTCCCTCTAATTAACACTCCAAACATCATTTGCTCCTATTTTTCTTCTTAAAAAACCTAAATAACACAGTATGCCTTCTTGCAGATGCATCAAATCAAAAAAGTCCACCAAGAAGGTACCAACTTAAGTCACAGCTGCATCAGAATCAAGTATAACAAAAACTCCCAAGAAGCCATCATAAGAGCATGCATGTGATTATACATGCCTTGCTTTTTAACTTTCAGAACAAAGCTTCGAAAGCAAGAAGTACTCATTTTCAAATAATAAAAAATTATGGAACCATTTAATAGAAGAAAAGCAAGTATCAGAGTTTTATATCTGATATAACAAGTAAAACTATAATAAAAAAGCCCTAAAAACTCAAAGTTTTAACTCCAGCCAAGCAGTCAGAGAAGAAAAACACACTGCAAGAATCATCCAGCCACAAGATCTTATCTGTATCAAAGTTCATCCGAAATCTAACCGAAATTTAACAATTCCAAGTACTGCAACATTTGGTTCTTATAACTCCCCTAAAGTGAATATTTATTTTAACATGATATATCCCAATTGGATATTTCAGAAGCTAAAACTCAGCTCTTGTGCATAACCACCCCATTTCCAGCTAGTAGAAACAATTAGCATTCTCCCTAAAAGATGGGAAGGTTTTTTTAACAAGCAACAAGAAGACAGGAATTTCTATAAAAGATAAAAGCAAGTACCTTTAGAAACTCTCCTATTCTGTTCCTCCCAAATGCCCCAGCAAATAAGAAATGGATGCATAAGTCTTATAATTCCCACTGCATTATCAAGAGAAGTCTGATTCCACCAACTTTGAAGCATTTCATATATACCATTGCCTGAACGTGTAATAGCCATAATCCGATGATAACGATTTCAAATTTGATGAGCAAGCTCACTACAACCAAAGATAGTGTCCAAAATTTAACTGTGTGCTTGGGCGAGGGTAGTACTCGGATGGGTGACTACCTGGGAAGCCCTCGTGTTGCACCTTTTTTTTTTCGGATGGGTTGTTCGACGTTACGCGCGAATGGAATTATAAACCGCTGGTTCATTTGCAAAGGTGAGTCACGGTGCCGGGGCATATTACTTGATATTAGAACGAGAAAGAGAGATGCAGAGTGCACGCACAAGAAAACAAATGACG